AAGAATGGGCCAAGGATGTGCTGACAAGGTAAAGCCTGGAACCAGTTCTTGAAGTCATCAACGCTCTCCATGTGGGCGAAAACTGCAATATCTGGACGAGCGTGCACATCGCAATGGCGTTCCCAGATCATGCAAGCACAGGCGCTGATGAATCTAAATGCCAAAGAGCGCACCTCGCAAGTTCGGGCTGCAGGAGCAATGATATTCCAGGAACTGTTGTTTTAAAAAACAGCATCTCTAACTCATGAAGTGCGTGCATCTCTAGCCGCTGAGCGGCAGCGACGTCTGCTCTATAAACCCTGCGCGCAGTCATGAAAGCGCTCACCGCCTGGCGTTTGTCCCATCTGCGGCCTGCAATCGCCGAGTGGTTGTGCATGAGCCTCCAGACTGGGGCGGAGCACAACCTGAAAACATAACCAACTGGCAACATAGCTGGCCAAGACATCCAAGTGATAGCGGAAGCTCGGTACCTGCGCTGCTGCCCCTCAAACTTAGCCTGGGAAAGCAAGGGAAACCACATGAACTAAACAATCGGGGCCGTATCCGCCCGCCAAGCCCCAGCCCCGCACCCCCACCTCCCAACGAAAACGACTGGACTTATGGCAACGGGCGCGCGGGGCAAGGGCGAGGGGGCGGAGGCGGCCACGACGTCCAAGTCCACGCGACTTCCCCTGCTGTCCTTCGGGTCAGCTGACGCCTCGGCGGCGCCATCGGCCGCCTCGTCGACGGCCTCGGCGGCGGCCCGACCGCCATAGCTGGCTGATCCGCTGGGGCCCCCCTCGAACGCGTCCGCCAAATCGGGGGGCATTGGCAGGTCCCCCGCGCCAGCAGCAGCCGTCGCAGCACCGTCTGGGACCCGCCTGCCAGTGACCTTCTGATAGAAGGCGCGGTACACGCTGGAGGCCAAGCCGTGGATGGACTCCAGGAGCAGCCAAGCGTCAACAGCCTCCATGGCGTTGGTCCACCTCCCGCGAGGGAGGACGAGTGGCATGCCGCCAAAGACAGCCCTGATGAACCAGCGCTTGATCTTCAACAAGCAGTGCGTGCGGGAACGACAACACCCCGCGCGGCAATAATGTTCGAAGGCGCCCCGTTTGGTCAGATCTCCATTCGCGAACGTGCTCACGACGAAATGGCGACGTCGTTGGATCTTGGACCGAGTCGAAGACGGATCGAAGAAAACATCCCAAACGCGTGAGCGGTGCTGGTCAGCTAAGACACCAGGGCCGACGGGGTCGTGCTCGTAATAATACCGCAAAGAACCAGACACCACTCGCACAGCCTCGTCCAAAAACATGTTAAACGCGCCTGGCGCGCGAAGTGACAGTGCCCAACGAATGCAACCTGTTATCCAAGCAGCTACAAAATCTGAAGATTTAGCCATAATCTGGGAGACCCTGTGGACAACACATTTACCTCGATATGTGTGCACAGGCCTGGTGCCATCATCTCTGGCAGTGTTGGAAACGAGACGTTCTGCACGATCGATGGCGCCGTCGCCGTCAGTTGTGCTCAAGAGTTGCTGGCGTTTGAACCTCTGGGCGCAGCTCAACACCAAAGACGACCTGCGAATGTGCTCGGCGTAACACTCGCCAATGCAGCGCTCGATGCAGGCCAGGGGCCGTGGCACATCAACTGGCACCAACACAAACTCATTGCCCAAAGAGAACAATGCAGCAACAACCATATCGCTTTGAACTATTTTGCACGATGTCCCCCTATGGATGTCATTCACAAGTGCGCCCATCAAGGAATCCACTGCTTTCTGCTCATCCTCAAGCATCGGCTGGTCTGACAGCGCAGCAATGTCCAGTAACTCCTGTTCTGGGATGGTCAACCTGCTCTCGGCTAGGATCCGACAGAACTGGGTCTCATCGTAACGAAGCCTCTGGTAAATCACCTCACCACATCCACCAATTGACACGACTTTGTCTAAAAGACGGGAAAACACAACATCGACTCCGTATTCACATCCAACCAGAAGAGCACCTGCCATAACGAGTCGTTTCGCGTGGACCGTGTGGGGCGAACATTTGGACTGGTCACTCTCAGCTTTCTGTGTCATTATAGTGAAGCCCGTGGTGTCTGGATCCAACTGCTTATGGATAAAATCAACGAGGGACTGATTTTTCAACTCAGGGACCTTTTCCAGCTGCAGCGCAACCGCGCTCTCCAAACTCCACCACGCCCTTGCCCAGGGCGGAGGACGCCGCTGCGGACCCCAGCGGCTGGCCGCGGGCCTCGATGGCGAACGACTGTTCGCCAGCAGCAGCAGCAGGGACGAGCGCGGCGCCGTCGGCAGCGGGGACGAGCGCGGCGCCGTCAGCAGCAGCAACAGGGACGAGCGCGGCGCCGTCGTCGTCGTCGTCCTCGGAACCACCAAGAATGGCAGCCCACTCCGAGCCCGCGCCGCCAGAAGCCGCCGCGCCGTCGCTCTCGGCACCACCAAGAATGGCAGCCCACTCCGAGCTCGCGCCAGCCTCTGGATTCAGAATGTCGT